AGATTTTGCAAGGCACAGAGGTGAGACTGACATTCATTGATACTCATGACTGATACTCATTGGTCTCATCTCAGAAGACCTTACTGTAAAACAGGAAAGATTCTCTTGCCCTGGAATCTACCTCATCTAATTCCCAGTCTTCAAATTTGTAAACAAATTAAAAATAACAACAAAAAATTGTGAAGGTTGACAACTCTGTTCTGTTGTTGATGGGATTTATGCTCCTAAAAACACCTGTGCATTTCTGAGAACATCCCCCTGTACTGCCAGCTCTTTCATACTGCTTCCATGTTCTGTGATAAGCCAGAGGAAAAAGAATATAAGAGAAAAACCACTATCAAAAATGAAGATCACCAACTATTGTGGTTTAAAACCAGGACACCAACCATGCCCATCTCACCACTGACAACATGTCTGCTATTCTGCATAGGTTGCAATTTGCTCTGCTATTACTTACTGACTGGAGGCAGTTCATATTCCACTTCTAAAACAACCCTCTCGCCAACATTCTTGAGCAGGCTGATGATCTCATCATGGCGAAATTTGGTCAGGTTAATTCCATTCACAGATTTGATGTAGTCCCCTACATCCAGCTGGTCACTCCTGGGAAGAAATACGTATTTCTTTTGTTAAAGACAGGTTTGCTGGACCAAACTAAATCCTTTAAATTACTGTTTAGTGAAGGTAAGAAATATTTTTCCATTCATCTAGATTAAAATAAGCTCATCTTTCAAACAGAAAGTGGCATTTTAAGATCTTAATCTAAATATTAAAATAAGAACACTGTTGCATTATTCATTTCTGATGTACAAAACCAGCTGTACGATAAAGGAGTTGGACAATTTGACTAGTTTGGGCATAGGATCTGGGAAATTGTCTTATTTGTGTCCCCATCTTTCTCTCTCTCTTTGGAAAGAATCCAAACCTATTTTTTTTTACAACAGTTGCATACACAACTAACATTGCAGCTACAGGAGACAGGCCACAGCCCAAATGCATATGTTCTGCTCAGTTACTTCGAATGATTTAGCTTAACCTTTATCTTTTGACTTGTTTCAGTCATGAATAACAGCTTTTTTATTTCCACTGTAGTAGTGAACAAGGTAGCTATGACTTTAGACTCTCTTTAATCTTAAAACCAGATGACGAACATTTTGGGTTTGGGTTTTGATTTTTGTTACTTTTTTTTTTTTTTTTAATAATTTATGGTATTACTATGGTTACTTTTTCCATTATATATAATAGTTGTAGTAGTACTATGGTTAGTTTTTTCATTTTATTTTTTCGCCTCACTATTTTATGCCACTTCTCTCACGTTTTTATCAAGGACAAAAAAGAGAGAAAGAAAACCTATATAATTTAAAAGAAACTTAATTAGTCTTACGACGACTTTCAAATATCTCATTGGTATTTCTAGTTTCCGACAAAGTAGCCTTGAGGGAAGAGGCAGGCCAGCTGTTGCCATTTCTCTCTGAGGTTCTCCAGCCTGATGGGCTGCCACTATAGATGCATCTAGTCACATATTTGTTAGTGACCTTTCTGATGCGGTACATATTTCTGAAGCAATCACATCGTATAATACATTTTGTGGCTTGAGATGTGGTTACCTAGCAGCGATTCCTCCTTGACGAAGGTTAGATACTCTTGGTTTCCCATCCTTGTCAATTCCACCTGATACTGTAAGCCCTAGGGTGGTGCCTTCTTTTTTCATTAATTCAACTATTGTTGAGCCCTTGAATTCCTCTGTTGAGAGAAAATTATTTGCTTTATTAAAATTTAAGTGATAACACAGATGTTGCCTTTCTAAAATGTCATCTACATCCCAAGAAAATCATTGTGTACGTTAATAAGAAATAACGTGTACATCTGGAGGTTCTTTATGTTACAATTCACAAGTTCTGTCTGCGAGGCTCTGCATATAGATAAATTTGAGACATATGTTCTGTAAAAGGTTATTAAAAACTACACCAGTGTGCTCGTACACTATGCAGAGGCAATAAATACGAACTCTGGCAACACTTACAACTCATAGGTAGTTGTTCCACATTTTTAAAGAGCTATAATTTCTCATTTTCTGCTTTCTCCCTCTGACCTCTATGTTTTACAAAGTACTTCAACTGATTAAATGGAAGGATAAAAGACACAATGATATAACAGTACGAGAAAATTTAGGTTCAGGCTCACTTTGAGGCCACTAGTAGATGTCAGTATTAATCAACACAACCGAACATAACAAGAATCCAGATGGACATCAGATCTTAATGGTTTTATTCCTTATTCTTACACCAATGTATCTTCACTGAAACTCTCTGAAATCTCTGCAGAACAGGTTGTTGTGGCTTAAACCATGACACAGGTGTAAGGTAAGTGAAGGGCTTTCGTAGTCATAACTGTATATTAAATTTCCCTCACACGATGCCTGGGACACCCTCTTCTATAGTTTGCCCATTTAGCATTCTTGGAAAATGCCAAGCTAATCCCACACATCTCTGAAAATGCAGGTCACCTGCAATGGAAAGCCTCAAGCTGTCGAAAAGATACGTCCTTATTGCAATGGACAAGGCAATCTGCATGTACACAGCCCCAGCAGGGCTGCAACTGTTTGGAAAGCCACAAGGCAATTATACTTCATGTCCAGTGTTTCCAGCCAGAGAAGACCTATTAAAACCATCAGCTGCCCAGGTATTCTGGAAAAAGATTCACTTAGAAAAAGACAAAATCCCAGAAAGATCATCCATCTTTCTGGTTCTTTTCAGCATTAATATGCAGCTTTCAGGAGAAATAGTCAGATACAAACATCATATACACTGTATACAAGGTATGCCTGCAGTGTGCTAGCAATCTTGCTGTGGCAGCATGAGATGTGAAGATTAAAGCCACTCAAAACCCAAGCAAGTTTCTTCTATACATTCACATGTTCACTGGTAAGGTCTAGAAAAAGCACTATACAAACAACAACAAAGCTCTGAGATGACAACGTAATACATCTTCACCTCAAGATGAACAGCAGCTGCCCTTAATGAGAATTGTCAAACTTTAGCAATACAGAGGTAATGGTGGTAGGCAAAGGAAAGCATTCAGAAAAGCCTCCAGCCCCAATGGAGTATCCCATAAACCTTGCAAGTACTTCTAATAGGGTTAATTACTGAATCTTTTGCAGATGTAGTATCACCCTATGCAATGTTCCTGCTCTGTTCTAGTGGCTGGCAGGCTCTTCTTTCTGTTCTAGCTGATGATGACCTCCCCTCAGTTATTCACATTTCTATCATTATAGAGCATGACTTGAGTGTTTGGGCAAGAATTGTCCAAAAGCTTCTACTAAGACAAAATTCTGCAATGTATTCAGTCAGCAGCACGGGTTGTCAGAAGCAGACAGTAGTATAGTTATCTGGTACATTCCCCAATTTGTCTTGACACCAAACCGTCATTTGATGTCATTTGGAAGCTATTGAGCTTCCACAGTGTTTGCTCACATCTGGTCTGTTTGACAGTTCAGAAAGAACAAGATATGATTACCTGCATCTGAACATGTAGACATGTTGCATAGCTGTAAGAGATACGGGCCAAAACGCTGCTACTTTGAGTTTTACAAAAACCTGCCAGTATTCATAATAATTGCAAGAGTTAGTCATGGTACTTACTGCAAACAAAATTACTGTATATTTGCACCCATAATGCAACCTCTGCTCTTTGCCAGTGTGTCACACTTGTTTATTCAGGGTTTGTTTGATCATGAGATTTAGAGTCAACAGGAAAACTCCCTTCCCTCTCTCCCACACCTCCGAGGCTGAATCCTTCCTTTGTATTTCTAAGTAGTACAATCTGGTTGTCAGCACCAAGCTAAGATTTTTCTTTTCTTTTCTTTTTTTTTTTTTTTAATAAATACTTTACCAGAATGTGTATACTGGATAACAACAATGCACCGCGCATGCCTAATAGTTTGCCATAGCACAATACTGGCATGTGCTTTGAGCTTTTATGCAGGTTCTGAGTTTGCAATCCAGTGTTGGGAAATACTCTGCTGCCTGAAGTGACATGTGCAACAGATGATCCATGAAGTGTTTTAAGATAGCTAATGATTATACAGTTCCTTGCAACTACTGGCATGGAAAGTAATGACCAGGTTTGTTCCTTCTCACAAGTTTCTGCATACCTCTGCCAATAGAACAGGGACCTCTAAACAATCTTCCTTGGTAGGCAGGAGGGAACGATGCACCAACACTGTGAGGAAGTGGTGGTATGAAATGCCCATTGCTAGCTGACAGATAATTTCATCCTGGAGTACAAAATAGCTTCATTAGGTTTGCCCCTCTGAAAGATTTTGTAGCTTTTGTTGCACATAATCATAGCAGGAAGAAATTAAAGTACTAGTTTTGCTTATAAGAGACTGTTATCCCTGGAAGTGTTCTGAACCAGGTCCACTTGACATCCCCATCTCTCTGGTTTTCATCTTGCTTTCTTAAATCGCACACGATTACTGTTCTTATAGTACTAAATAATACATGTTTACTCATCTGCATTGCTTTGATGTTATTATTATAGACTAATCCCACTGGAGTACTATCAAAATGCCCAATAACAGAACAATCCTGGGACTTCATTTCCAATCCAACAAGCAACCACATATGTGCACGCTATTCCCCAGCTAGTGCAAGGTCAGTCTCTGCTTTCTAGTTAACACAATGCTATGTTACTCTTTGTGTGTTAAGAATCAAACTACTTCATATATCACCTCACTCATAATTCATTACATATGCCAATCAGCAAACTCCTAATCAGTTAGAAGTCTCTGGGGTCTGTTCTTTGCTACATGTACTCCCACATTCCTAATAATATTAGCATAGCCCAGCATTAGAAGTTACTTCCAGATTTCTTATAAATTATGAGTAGAAGAGGAATTGAAATTACAAGTTTTTTCCTTAGTGGTAAACTGAATATAGAACAAGAGCTTAAGAAACATCTTACTCCATAACAGTTTATGAAGTATCAAATATGAGAACACCACTCCTGCAGTACAGCTCTGTGATATGAACCAAATGAATTATTCTAAAATGAAACTGTGTAGAGAAAAGATGGTTCAAAGTCTATAAAAAGCCCAAATCAATACCATTTTACACTTCGGCTGAAAAAATGCACTTGAGAACTTCTTCCCTACCTACCATTAACAACTCAGGCAGCATTTGGTGAAACACAGCTCACACTGGGTCCTGCTTTCCCTCAGCTTAGGGAGGGTTTCAGGAGTGCCCTAGGACTTCCACTGCTTCCTGCTGCTGCTGGGGTGATTCTGGGCACACCTGCCTGTGCTGCACCAGTCACCCTACAGCTTTGCTGGCATCTACCTACCTCTGGTATGGGGCTCAATAATTCTGCTGAATACTGGAGATGGGCTCAGCAAGGGGACTGCAAACGTGCGTACTTGTACACACATTCAAGGACATAGGATGGAATAGAAAGGTTCTGCTCCAAAGAGCTTTGTTTGGATCTCCAGTCCTGTAAGGTGAAGCATATAGAGGAGATGAACTCTAAAGAGAACACTATGCTGCTGCTCTTTTCTCAATTCCTGGTCTGAATGCTTCTCTTAAGTTCGCTGCTGCATTACTGTGTGCGCCTGACCTTCAGCAGGGTCTGCTGGTGTATCAACACTATGATTTGCCCTGCAACCTAGAAGACTACAGGGATACTCAACATTGCAGTAGAAAACTTCAAAGATAAGCAGAGGCTCAAATACAAGACTAGACAAATCTTACTGAAGGAAGATTAATAAATAGAATAACTTGCAAGTACATAAAACCCAAGAAATATCGTGTGAAATTAGTTTTTCTTTAAGGAAAATAGTGTCACAATAAAGCTTCTAAAATTTTATACAAGAACAGACTTTTTATAATTTCCTGCCTTTTGATGTATGTAAACAACATGTTTTAATGAATAAAAAACACGGAAAATAAATTGACTCATGAGATTTCTGAACTTGGAATATATTCACTTCTTTGAAAAGAAAATTAAATACTAGACTACAGAAGAGAGTTCTTGGTTTGCTTTTTTTTCAGAACAACATTTAAAAGCTGAGATAACTCTTAATTGGAGGTTTTATCACCTATTTTCTATATTACTACAATTTCATATCCTAATATATACACTAAAGTGAAAACCTCAAAAATATTTGCTTTCATTCCAGATATTGTCTTTTCCATGTGTTCTGTAGAAATTTTATTTTAAAATCCAAGAAAATGCCTAAAATCTACATGTTCAGGTCAAGTCCTTGTATCCTCCGCCTAACGAATAAGTTTATGCAGTGCAGCCAGGACAGGGCATAAATGGAACTTAACCATTAAAAAAACCAACCCCACCCCCCCAAAAAAAAACCCCTTGCTCTTATTGATCTTTTCCTACCAAAAGACATACATAATCAGTAAGTCAGTAATTGGTAAGTCTGTTGAAAATACAGTCAATGCTGTCCTTGTATGGATTTCCCTGTATGTCAGCAGAAATTCTGCAGAGGAAACATTTTGCGTTACATCCCAGTAGGCATCTCATGGTTTAAATAAGAAATCACATAAAGATAAAGTCAATTCTTAAGAAAGTGATAGCAGTTTGTTATACCGGGGACATAACATCTATTCGATGTTTCCAAGTCCTATGGGTAGGTGTATTTCTCTGTGATAAGAGGGTTGTCAACAGATGATGAATGCTCCATTCCCTGTTGCAACTTTCCTGACTGGTTATCATTAACTCCTAAAACACCT